TATATATATATATATATATATATACATATATATATAATCGAACTAACATATGATTTTATGTAAAGAAAATCAATAGGCAGTCATGGAAAGACATTGTTTCCTCCTGAACTCAAGCAATGGCATCACATCTCGTATGTAAAAATGTTAGTCTTAGTTGAAAGTAACACTTTTATGTCAGAGTAAGAGAAATATGAGTCGTACTTTAAAGTAACCCTACTGTGTTTGAGTAAGAGAAATGTGAGTCGTACTTTAAAGTATCACTTCTATGTCAGAGTAAGGAAACGCCAGTCCTATTAAAAAAAAACACCTTTACGTCAGAGTAAGGAAATGTGAGTCGTACTTTAAAGTAACCCTTCTTTGTCAGAGTAAGGAAATGAGAGACACAAAAATGACGCAGCAAAACAACGAGCGTATCGGCAGGAAGCCTTCTTCCTCGAACAAAAACCAGTAAAAACTAATATAAAATTTTTTAAAAAAATCACTTCGCTGCCAATTATTACCCGAAAGGCCAACAAGAGATTCCTGTATATATTTTATTATTGATTTATTTTGTTTCATTGCTGCCATCACTTTTCAAATTATATTTATCTTGTGCGTGTTTTTTGAAAATATTAAATCATGTTATGGATTAAATTTGATTTCAACAATGTGCACATATCTTACTTCATTAGTTGTTATTTTTGTAATATTACTTCTGGCCATTGAACAAATATACATAGATTAGTCCATACCAATAAACAAATGTACATACAGTGGTCCATAACAATGAACAAATATACAGACATTTGTCCATACTAATAAACAAATTTACATGCATTTGTTCATTGGTACACACGCCTTGTACAGGGATGACATATTGTACATACGGCCTTGTACAGTGATGTCATAGTGTAAATAGGCCCTAGTACAATGATGTCATAGTGTACATACGGCGTTGTACAGGGATGCCATAGTTTACATTTGTCCCCGTTCATGGAGGACATAGTGTACACACGCTTTCTACAGTGATGTTATATGTACATACGCCCTCCTACATGGATGACATAGTGTACACACGCCTGTATAGTGATGTCATAATGTACATATGCACTTGTACGGGATGACATAATGTACTTACGCATTTGTACATGGGTGTCATAATGTACATAGAAATAGAGAGACAATCCGCCCCTAGCTACCACGACAAATAGACAGACATACCGGCCCTAGCTACCACGACAAATAGAGAGACAATCTACTCCTAGCCACCACATCAAATAGAGAGACAATCTGATCTGAAGTATTTAACAACTGTTGAAAATATCGAGCCCTTTATACAATTAGCAGATCATTAGAAACATTAAGATAAAAAATCAATTTCAAAATGAGATGAATAGAACATCATTTGTTCCAAAAATATAACGTAATTTAGCGTTCATGTGAAAAACAATGCCACACAGCTTACTTTATGAATAAGGTCACGTGATCAGATAGAAACAGACACGTTTCTTTTTGATATCACGTTTGAAACATGTGAAATGAAATCAGATCATATCATTTACTTACATGCGTTTCTTAAATGCTGTTTTTTAATTATTTTTTTTTTTTGACATTTCATTGTCTAAACTAAAGGGAAGCAGTTCTCGGGATTGGCGTACTATAGAACAAAAGAAAAAAAAATATTTGAATTCTCTCCCTTACCCCGCAAAGCATGAGTTGGTCATGTCACAAAGCATCGGGTCACGGGAGGTATCGCCTAGGAGAGTAATCGTTTGGGAGAGGTATTGTTTGAGGCAGGTGTCGTTTGGGGGAGGTATCGTTTGGAAGAGTTGTTCGGGTCATGGATGGTATCGTTTGGGAGATATGATGATACCCTTATGGTGCTCTGGTCACGGAAGCCATTGTTTATAATTATTTCTCTTGGCTTATTTCCATGATAACAGAATGGGTTTGTAAATTTAAATGTTACTGGATTCAACTTGGGCAGTAACATCAAATACGAATGTCTCGGGTACTCAATCCATGGATAACCCATTAATTAACCCAATAATGAACGCAATAATTAACCCAATAATTAACCCATTAATTAACCTATTAATTAACTCATTTTTTTAGCAAATGTTTTTGGGTATCGCACAATATTAAATAAAAGATGAACTCAAACAAGCCAGTCACGTGGTATAAAGCAACCTTAGCGATTAGGAAACAATTCATTTTTTTTTTCGCTGATCTTAAAATTTAATTGTATACATCATCAGTTGTGATTAAAGCATTCAAATCTACTTCTTGTTTAACTCAATTTTAGCACTAGAATTCAGTCCAAGAAATTTTTATACATAGTATAACGTAATATAAAAGATAAATATTAGACTTAATTAAGATCTATTAGATATTGAGTAAACAAAGCAAAAATGTATTTATATATTTTGCACCCTTTAGGAATGCTCAAGCTGTGGTTAGTCTATTGACCCAAATAAATGTAACAGTTCAATGACAAATTGGAAAGGACTTTGAACTATATAAATAATTGAAGTACAAAGATAACTTATCAAAGAAGATATACAACTCATGACATGTTGCATACAATTTTATTTATTATTTGTATCATAAAAGTCGACCCCCCCCCGCCACTTTTTGTAATACAAATAATCATGTTTCCTCAAAACCCCAAATAAACCGATTACCGGAAATTTGATCGAAAGATATTTCGTCGACGGTAAATTGATCTACGGTAATTTGATCGACCGGAAATTTGGTCGAATCTTTTTTTCAGTTCACACGTTAAGATTTTCGTCAAATTTCTTTTTGAACGCACTATACTATATAGTAAAAACAAAATAATGCGTTCAAAAAGACATTTGAAGCAAAATTTAAACGTAAAAACGGAAAAAAAGATCAATTTACCGTCGACGAAATTTCTTTCGATCAAATTTCCGGATACGAAATAAACCACATGCAACTTTCCGCTTCCAACCTGGCAAACCTTGGATTTAAACTTCCATCGATCGGGATTTCCAGGAAAGACATAATTTCGGAAATGCCCCATAGTTTTCTAGGGAACTGGAGGAGCTTTATTGATAATGTGATATCGCCTACTATTCAAGTCTGGCACAGATCTCGACTATCGTCCTGGTGTTCTCTGAACCAACGTCCTGGTGTTCTCTGAACCAACGTCCTGGTGTTCTCTGAACAAACGTCCTGGTGTTCTCTGAACCAACGTCCTGGTGTTCTCTGAACCAACGTCCTGGTGTTCTCTGAACCAACGTCCTGGTGTTCTCTGAACCAACGTCCTGGTGTTCTCTGAACCAACGTCCTGGTGTTCTCTGAACCAACGTCCTGGTGTTCTCTGAACCAACGTCCTGGTGTTCTCTGAACCAACGTCCTGGTGTTCTCTGAGCTACGTCCTGTTGTTGTTTAGGGAAACAGATAGGCCGCGAATGCATAAGGTATGTTTTATTTGATTTGATTTTCTTGCAATGTTTACTTAAGAAGTATGATACTCTAAGTAATGTCTGCAATCAATAAACAAATATGAAATGCAGTTTTAAGATATGTTGTTTTTGAAAACAAGAATGACGTCATCAAATTAAGGTTATCATTTATATGTACTACTTCTCAGATAAGAATGACGTCACGAATTAAGGATACAATATTTATATTTACTACCTCTAAGATAAGAATGACGTCACGAATTAAGGTTACAATATTTATATTTCATTTTTTGTAAGACAAGACGTACACCAGTTAAAGGAAATCACGTATATGTAGCAATCCTATGGTCAGACTGTCTACGTATTTTAGATATGTTTCACGTGTTTACTTTATTTCTTATTATAACTATCCATATGCAGAGCCCTACACACGTGACCATTAAAAATGTTATGTTTTAGATTATAATGTTCTTAGATACAACATGATAACGTTTACTTGCATTGAAGATATATGCTGCATTTTTATTGTATGGTTTACATATCAAACATCATACACTTAATGA